TAATTTTTGCGGGCCCAAGAAATGTTTTCCGGGCCCACCCAAGACAAGAGGGGGTAGTATGTGTCCAGTGGCGTAGCGTCGTTTACGCAAAGTACGCAAATGCGTCCACTGGAACAATCCAATGTTTATCTGAATATTTGGAAATTCTAAATTTCTCAAGTTTTAATAAGCAAAGCCATTGTTCAACCTTATCATTTCGTATCTTTGAACAGGGTTCAACCATAGAAATTATATATATACTCTGTACACTACAACAATTTTCATAGTTGTACGTTTTCGTTTCGTCGTACTCACATGAGTCGGAAAATAGAAAATATGATTTTATGTTATATTCCTTGTTATATTCCTTTATGAAAACACGGGACGATCGATACGTAAAGTTTTTAGTGACCGATATTTGAACTTTGTACAGTAGGCCTACATCATCAATTATTCCATCATGCTTGTACGTTTTTCGCTTGTTTGATAACGTAAATTGCACTTCCTGGATCCTAAATAAATTAGCTAGATTTCTCCATTCATTCTTAACGATACATTAAATATTTTTGCTTGAATTTCTACAAGACTTATAATGAGTACTTATGAGTATATTTCAAGTGGAAATGAATGCGTATCGGGTAACCCCCCCCCCATCCCAATTTTGGAATTTTGCGTCCCCTAGTAAAATTGCCACGCTACGCCACTGGTGTCCAACAGATCGAATGAGATTCAGACTGAATTTTATTCAGACGTAGGATACAGTCTACAAGAGAAGGTGGGTGCCCTGGCGGATCTGGGAGGGGGTGGGGGGGGGGGGCTGGGGATCCCCTTGGGTGGGCCCAGAAAAAAATTCAGGGGCCCGAAAAAATTTTTGAGGCCCATTTTCTTCAAAATTTAACCTCAAATTAAAAAATTGGGCCTTGAAAAATCCCAGTTATGACCATAAAGACTCACTTTTTGGGCCCTTGGGCTGTTGGGCCCATTTTTTGCCAAGGGACCCGCCAGTGTGTGCTAGGGATGAAGAAATTCATTCTAGGTGGGAACAAATGATTGAAACTGTCAAAAAGTGTTCTTTTTATGTTGCTGATTTAAATTCCGAATACTTTATGATGGTTTTCATTGTATATTAGTAATTAGTTTGCGCAAATTACTTAGCCTATTTCGCGCAAGTTAATCGCTTTTGTTTCGCGCGTTTTATGTAGCTGACTTACAGTGGGCGATAAATAAATAAAAGGAAATGTTTGTGAAATAAGTTATTAGCAGATTTATGTTACACTGAAACTGATTAATATAAAGTATCGTTGAGTTAAAATGCCAAGAGGACGTCGATGCGTAGCAGTGAACTGTTCGTCCGAAAGTGCGACGAGTACAGTGCATATGTTTCCCAAAGATGAAAAGCTTCGTCAAAAATGGGTGGATTTTTGTTGGGTTGAAAAGAAAGCGTTTCTTGGCTGCTACGCCCTTCATGGGCTTATGTAGGTAAGATAACATTGATTTTTGACAATTTTTGTGGGAGTGGCCAAAAATATTACGAACAGTCTGAGCAATGAATAATAATTAGTCGTGGATTTGCTGAAGTGAAAATTTCCCATCTACATCTAGGCCTACATCTACATCAATAATCCGCAAAAGGCTAATAAGCCCACTTAAGCAGCTATATAGTTTAACAGTGATATAATTTGAATAGAATACAATTTGAACCTTAAGGTTCAGCTGGAAAGTAACATTTTGGTAAAAAATTGCTATACCTGCACATGTTATTTTCTGGTACAAAATTACGTATGAAGGCATGTGTGTATTTCCTTGCTTTTTTCAGGAAAGTATCATTACACTGTCTACTTTTAGTAAACCTGGAAACAGGTCAATGGTACCTCCTGTGCTGTCTGGAAACTTTGATAGAAAATTTGGAAAAATAGAAAGTGTGAAATATCAGAATTTCCTGGAGCTCCCATTGAACTCCAACTACTGTAGATATTCTTAAAGAAGACAATGTAATGATACTTTCCTGAAAAAAGCAAGGCAATTGACACATGTCTTCATACTTTATTTTGTACCAGAAAATAACATGTGCTGGTATAGCAATTTTTTACCAAAATGTTACTTTCCAGCTGTACCTTAACATTTAAAAAATAGATCTATGGTTTACAACTCATATTAAGGTACAGCTGGAAAGTAACATTTTGGTAAAAAATTGCTATACCACCACATGTTATTTTCTGGTACAAATAAAGTATGAAGACATGTGTCAATTTCCTTGCTTTTTTCAGGAAAGTATCATTACATTGTCTTCTTTAAGAATATCTAGTAGGGGTTCAATGGGAACTCCAGGAAATTCTGATATTTCACACTTTCTATTTTTCCAAATTTTTTTCAAAGTTTCCAGACAACACAGGAGTTACAATTGACCTGTTTCCAGGTTTACTAAAAGTAGACAGTGTAATGATACTTTCCTGAAAAAAGCAAGGAAATACACACATGCCTTCATACTTAATTTTGTACCAGAAAATAACATGTGCAGGTATAGCAATTTTTTACCAAAATGTTACTTTCCAGCTGAACCTTAAAATGTACACTGAAATCATGTAACACTTCTCCACTAAGGAGGCATCTTCCCCAAGGTCAGATGCTCCCGTTCGTACAGTACTGTCAACCCCCAAAGATTTTCTCGCGGGACAGGATTTTTAGACCCAGTGTCTAAAATTTGCGGGATTTTGCGGGACATCGACCTAAATTCGCGGGATTTTGCGGGACATTCAAAGGATTTGCGTGATTGCGCTATTTTGATCAAATTCGTTGGACCATTCGAGGGACAAACACGCTAATTACGGGACTGTTAACAGGGTTACCACCAAAGACTTCATAGGGGGACAGTTTTTTTTAGACAAAGTGATCTAAATTCGCGGGATTTTGCGGGACATCCACCTAAATTTGCGGGATGTCGCAGGATATTCAAGGGATTTGCATGATTGGGGCTTAATGTAAAAGTACTCAAATCAAGCTTTCAGATACTGATTTATCAAATATAATGCACTTAACTAAAGTAAAATTTAACACAATTCTACACAATACGCATAGAAATATTATTAAACTATCAAAAACCACGCTTAAGGTGTGAGTACCGTAATCCAACATGAAATTCAAAAATTCTGAACAATACTTTGCACTTATGGCGTTCGTGACCAACTATGAAACATTTACCCCCCATAGTGCTATATATTAAAATATACCTATTCATATAGGGGTTCGATTAATCTACATCAAATTATAGGGAGTCAGATCAGGTTTCTTTTCGAGATATCTGGGTCCATTTATTGGAACTCGCGTTTGCTAACATTTGCTCAGTTCTGAGATGAAGGCCGTGACACGCGTAGTTAAAAGGCCAACGTTGGAACTATTGGTGACATACATCCCTATTTTCGTAATTAAAATGAAAATTGCACTCTTCCTCTTTATTTTGATACCAAATAATGGCATACTAAGTACTTGAGAAGCCAACTATGGTGTTATTTGGATAAAAATCACAGTTTATAAATGGACTATACGCTCTTTTCCAAAAGCAGTCTTCAATGATCTGATACACTGGGAGTTTGGCAGCACTATTCAAATTAGGTAAACTTTACTCCCCAAAAGCGCAAAAACTTAGCTTCTTATATCACAAGATAATCACAATTATTTAGCCTCCGGGATTGTTACAATTTTGAAAATTCGCGGAGGTCAAAGTCGACATTTGCGGGACTTCGCGGGACATTGCGGGACACGCAAATTAGCCAAATTTTAATCAAATTCGCGGGATAATCCCGCCATTCACGGGACACTTGACAGCTCTGTTCGTAGAAAAGTTGGCCATATTCAAAAATCATTTGTATAAACAAAAACAAATTTTAAGAATGTACCATAGACCTATTGCTAAAAGTAGAAAATCTAAGAGAGCTGAAGAGAATTTTAAGAGGCAATACATCGGTGGATGAGAGTATACAAAATGCAAAATACACAAAATTTAGGAGATCTGTATCTTTAAAATATCACAGCAGGTTTCCCTTCCATATCTTTATGGCTATTGCCCATGCATCTCGCAATCTGATTGGTAAATTTGCGAAAATTCTCTAAATAAGGCGTAAAGGATCGGATTGCAATTTCTGTCTTTCATATTTGGAGTTTTGTAATGGCTCTGAGTGACTAGCAATTTGCTTCTACAGCCCCTTGAGCCTTTATAACAACTCAGTCGGTTCAGCATCAGTTATTGGATCCAAGGGTCCTAGGCTCGATTCCTGCATGGGGCATTGAATTTAGCACACTTTGTTACACTATACTCATTAGTTAGTCAGTCATTCTCCTGAGGCATCCTCAGGTCATTACATTGGTGGCAGCGGTGGGATTAAAGCGATTGGTTGTATCCTTTGCGCCCATGTGTGTGTGATAAGTCACTGTAAGGGAAAGCAAAGCTACCCACAAGGGCGTGGTCCTTTCAAAGGGGGGGATAGTGTAACAATCCTGGATACCAAGTTGCTACTACAGCCTAGCTGTGGTGGCTTAAGTCTTTATAGCTCAGTCTGTAGAACATCAGTCTTTGGTTCCAAGGATCCTAGGTTCAATTCCCGCACGGGCACTTTCTTTCAATTTCTTTATCTGGCTTGTTACATTGAACTTGTTACAAGAATCCCCCCTTGGCAAATCCTGGCTATGGACCTGGTCATGCTTTGTATGACATTCTGTCCAACTCATGCTGAATTTCACTATATTGAATCATTATTTATTCATTAATTTGAATTCAATTATAGTCACATACATGACATACAGATGTATATGATTTTTGATTCTGCTAAATGTTCATTGAAAGCTGACTTTTCACTTTTTTGCATTCAAGGAAAGTATAAGACACGTAACTTTTTGCAAAATATATAACTAAGATCCATATACTGTAAATATCGAAAAACTGTCCAATCATTGTTCATTGATAAATATGTGAAAATGTTAAGTCATATGATTGATGTTAATGAATTTCTCTTGCAAGTTTTGCATTTCTATTTTGCATATATTTTCAGTGATTCTGTTGCAACAGTTCCAGTACTACAAAATCCTAAACCTTCTAGAAAACGAAAACAAAAACTGCATCCGACAAGGTCAAAAGTTCTTTTGGAAGTGCCTGACTTTGAACCAGTGGAGAAGATAAAAGTGAAAGTAAAAAGGAGGCCATGGGCCAAGAGGGATTATATGGACAAAAGTATGTTTTTTGAATACTTTTACAGGGTGTTAAATAACAGCAGCACACCCTCTACTCATAAACTATTGAAGGATATATCATATATCATCCAAAAGATAAATTAATTCTTGAGTTACATGTGAAATTTTGAGACTTAATATGCCAGAGTAATACGTAGCCCGTTTGAAATGCTCTATATAACTGCTATTTGTGGCTTAAATGGTATCTTGTGTATCCAATGATTTTAGTAAAAGTATTATATTTTGAAATCCTTCCCACTATTCATGTTTTTTCTGATTCACTGCAGTTTTGGTATTCATAGAATGTTAATTACCTGATTTAGAAGTATATTGCAGAAAAACTCCACACTCAAGCACATAGCAGAAAACCTGTTAATACATGGAGACCAAACACATTTACATTGTTGATCTGTGAATAAAATCAAATATAGGTGAAATTTCACAGATAACTCCTGAAATTAAATTCTCTTTAAGATGATATATGACACACTATGAATCTCTTTCTTGTTTTGCTGTAGAGGAGCTGTCATTGTATTTGACACCCTGAATAATGGAATATAATATATATAATAATATCCTTGCCCGTAGCCAGCTTTTACCAGGGGGGACTGGAGCTTTTTCACAATTTTGGCTAAAAATCATGCGAAAAATTCTCAGAATGGTGAAAAACTGCATCATTTTGAAAGAATTTCTGGCCAGGGGGGGGAGCTTCCGCTCCCCAATCTCCCCATCTGGCTACGGGCATGATATCCTTATATTATGTACTAATATGACATACATAATTTGGTACTAGTTGAACTCAAATCACATTCTGATTTGCATCAAGTGAAGGGAAAGCATAACATTACCTTGCTCAGGTATAATTATGATTACTATGCCTTAGTATGCTTTATTTACATTCATATTTGCTTAACAATATTAAATTAAGTTTTAAATGTTGTACTTGCAGCTTCAAAGAAAAGAACAAAACAGACCAAAAGGCAACCCAGCAGCGAGTCTTCTGAAGCAGTTGTTGAAATACCATTTGATTCAAGTGCAGTACACGACACAAGTATGAAAAACATTTTAACCTCAATATGGAAATAAGCAAAATACTGTTGTATGTAAAATATGAAACCTTTATCATCTCATTCCCAAATATAATGAAGAGGTTTGACATTATGTTATCTAGTCACTCGAACTGAGTCCAGTTTTAGAGGAAAATTATGAAATACCCTAATATTATTGCCCATAAAAGTACCATTCATAAATCTGGGGATTTTGTAATTTGAGATACCTCCTCCAGGAGAATTTGGGATTTGCATTGTATATTAACTTTTCGGTGGCCATTTTGCCTCTGGCAGCCATTTTGGAAGTTTTTAGATGAATCTTTTTAAGTACGACATTGTTCACCCTGTGCCTTGTTTGCTCTTTCAGGACAACTTGAGGAAATTATTGAGGAATTTACCTCTACAGCAAATGAACAGCATAATCCACCTTCAAGTAGGTCAGAGACCTAGGATAACCGTATGGAGACCCTTTATGAATCTTGAGGGAATATGCGTCCTAAAATAGGAGAGTGTTGGAAAAAGACAATAAAGATGATCTCTTGAACAATAATGCAGTTGTAGATGTTGTCTCAACAGGGGAAATTGGCTCTTCTACAAAGATATATGACAAAAAATACCAACTGATGAAAGACATGTAACGCTAATCATAGAGGAAGAAAAAACACTTGTTGCATCAATACTGTTGTCATCTAAAAAGTACAGAACATTGAAAGATCTTTAAGAGGGTTTCTTCAAATGGCAATCTTGCATTGATCAACAACAATGTAGATGGGACCCTAGACCCACACTACAACCCCTGCAGGTGGTGAAACAATGTATAAAGAGTACAACCCCTGCAGGTGCTTATATGACAGAGACAGAGTACAACCCCTGCAGGTGTTGATATGATCAAGACAGAGTTCAACCCCTGCAGCGGTGATATGACGAAGACAGGGTACAACCCCTGCATGCGGTGAAATGACCAGGACAGAGTACAACCTTTTTATGTGTTGAAATGACCTGGACACAGAGTACAACCCCTGCAGGAGGTGAAATGACCAGTACAGCGTACAACCCTTTTGGGTGGAGAAATGACCAAGACAGAGTACAACCTCTGCAGGTAGTGAAATGACCTTGGTAGAGTACAATCCCTGCAGGTGGTGAAACAACCTAGACATAAAAAACCCATGCAGGTGATGAAATGACCAGGAAAGAGTACAACCCCTGCAGGTGATGAAATGACCAGGAAAGAGTACAACCCTTTTATGTGTTGAAATGACCTGGACACAGAGTACAAACCCCTGCAGGTGGTGAAATGACCAGGACAGAGTACAACCTATGCAGGTGGTGAAATAACCTTAAGACAGAGTACAACTTATGCAGATGGTGAAATGACAAGGACAGAGTACAACCCCTGCAGGTGGTGAAATGACCTAGACAGAGTACAACCCATGCAGGTGGTGAAACAACCTAGACAGAGTACAACCCATGCAGGTGGTGAAATGGCCCAGACACAGAGTACAACCCCTGCAGGTGGTGAAATGACCTAGGTAGAGTACAGCCCCTGCAGGATGTGAAATGCCCTAGACAGAGTACAGCCTATGCAGGTGGTGAAATGTCAAGGACAGAGTACAACCCCTGCAGGTGATGAAATGACAAGGACTGAGTACAACCCCTGCAGGTGATGAAATGACAAGGACAGAGTACAACACATGCAGGTGATGAAATGACCTAGATAGAGTACAGCCCCTGCAGGATGTGGAACAACCTAGACAGAGTACAACCCCTGCAGGTGGTAAATGACCTAGGTAGAGTACAGCCCCTGCAGGATGTGAAATGACCTAGGTAGAGTACAACCTGCAGGTGGTGAAACATCCTAGACAGAGTACAACTTATGCAGATGGTGAAATGACAAGGACAGAGTACAACCCCTGCAGGTGATGAAATGACATGGACAGAGTGCAACCCCTGCAGGTGATGAAATGACAAGGAAAGAGTACAACCCATGCAGGTGGTGAAATGACCTAGGTAGAGTGCAGCCCCTGCAGGATGTGAAATGACCTAGACAGAGTACAACCCATGCAGGTGGTGAAACAACCTAGACAGAGTGCAACCCATGCAGGTGGTGAAATGACCTGGACACAGAGTACAACCCCTGCAGATCAGGACAGAGTACAACCCTTACAGGTGGTGAAATGACCAGTACAGAGTACAACCCTTTTATGTGGTGAAATGACCAGGACAGAGTACAACCCCTGCAGGTTGTGAAATGACCAGGACAGAGTACAACCCCAGCAGGTGGTGAAATGACCAGTACAGAGTACAACCCTTTTATGTGGTGAAATGACCAGGACAGAGTACAACCCCTGCAGGTTGTGAAATGACCAGTACAGAGTACAACCCCAACAGGTGGTGAAATGACCAGTACAGAGTACAACCCCTGCAGGTGGTGAAATGACCTAGATGGAGTAGAACCCCTGTATGTGGTAAGACAGTACAACCCCTGCAGGTGGTGAAATGACCTAGATGGAGTAGAACCCCTGTATGTGGTAAGACAGTACAACCCCTGCAGGTGGTGAAATGACCTAGATGGAGTAGAACCCCTGTATGTGGTAAGACAGTACAACCCCTGCAGGTGGTGAAGCCACAAGGACAGAGTGCCTTGTGAATCCATCCACTCAACATACTACTCCTCTCTCCAAGCCTGGTGCTTACAAGGAGCCTGTAGAGGTACCTGTATGTGGCAGGTCAACCACAAGTGATGTCATTATAGTCAGCGACTGAAAGGCTGATTGCATCAAAGGATTGGCTAGAGATGACCATGTAGTGTTTACGTATGGGAAGCTTGTTAGTGAGTCGTATAACTCCCATGCTGTCTAATTGGACGACCCCAAGTACATCCTGGTTGTGGACAAGAACAACCACAGGTGCAACTCCTGAGCCCTAAGGGTAAATTCAAGCTTTACATTCTGGGTAGGAAAGATGTTGACTGTATAGAATTCAACTACATGTACAACCTACACACTGTTTCCAATTGCCAATCAACCAAGAATGTGACGTGATAGTGAGAGACTTGATCGGCAACTCTTCATTGTTGCTTACAGGAAGTGAGATAAATATGAAACAAAACAGGACAAAGAGAGCAGTGGCAATTGCAACAACACTGGCAATTACAACTACACTGTCAATTATAACAACACGGGCAATTACAAGAACAGAAGGACAAAGAGAGCAGTGACAATTACAACCTGGTAATGCAACAATATTGGCAATTACAACAACACTGGCAATTACAACTACACTGGCAATTACAACAACACTGGCAGTTGCAAGAATAGAAGGACAAAGAGAGCAGTGACAATTACAACACTGGTATTACAGTATTGACAATTACAACTTTATTGGTGATTACAACAAGATCGACAATTACAACAGCATTGGCAACTACAACAACAATGAGATACTACAACGTCAAGTACAACACAAGAACTTTAACTTGAAAAAACAATTATGAAATTAATATTATTTATATTTGCTATTTATTCAGAACTCTATAAACTTAGTGCATTATTACAGTTGATTAGAATTAATTGAATGTTTAATTGAATATCGGGATAAAATATGAAAACTAGATGAACAATTCATAAATGTTCTTTGTTGATGAAAATCAATGTCGGTTGTAGATTGTTTTCAATTGTAAGGTAGAATTCTGTAAAACGATTAAAATACAATATTGTTTGGAATTAACAGCACAATGGCTTGAAGTGTGTGTTTTGAAATTTTGGACACTGCAAACTGGAACATCAAGGATATTTTATGTCATGGTTCATGTTCATCTGATCACAGTAAGAAATATGACATTGAAATAATAAGTCCATTTAAATACGATAAAAGAACAGAATATAATATTCTATAAAACACATCATTATATTTTCTTCACATTTATTACTGCATGTACATCTTTACATAAGAGCGAATACATTATTATATAAGATTCATATATACAAGCTCCAAACAATGCCAGATACTACTTTACCATAAGCATACACCCCTCAAAAAGTTTAGCAACCCTTACTTCTTATTTTTGTTAATGGGTATGATACTAAAGCCTGTTTATGCAATAATTTTAAATGTATTCTTTAATTACAATATACTAAAAATTAATGGTACTTTGATGATTTTTTCAGAGTTGCCAAACATCAATGTAGGCTTAAATATGTGGTCAAATAAGTGACTAGGGTTTCCAAACTCTTTGGGGGAGTGTATGAAAAATCCAACTACAATATGACTGAATGCAAAACTCGTTTTGATATCTACTCTAAAAAATATTTGTTTCAAAATATTACCTGTAAGTCAGCCCTAAAGAGAAATGGTAGATAATGAATTAGGAAGTTGTCCGATGTAAACAAATGTCGGTTGTTTTTCCTCCCTCAATTTTTCAGTTTTATGCACATGATTCAAAGTACATATTGATTTGTGTACATATCGATTGCACATCCTACTTACATTAGTAAATTATTAGTTAAAGTACTATAAAATACAATAAAATTATTTTGAGGGCGTAGTGCAGACAGCAACATTATTTAGGACACAACTATCTATTTAATTAATGTGTAAAATATATTGGAAATATCGCCAGGTTCCTATTGGAAAGAGACATTAAAGCTTCAACATTCTCATTCTTCAACAGTAATCAGAAAATGCACTTATAAATGCAATATGCCATGTACAGTAATCAGAAAAATGCACTTATAAATGCAATATGTCATGTACAGTAAAACCTGTGTAAAAGGAACACCTTTGGTATAACTAGTCAGTAAACATGAAGAAATTACAAGAATACAAATCAATGTATTGTAAATCAGTATTTTCTGTTTGTAAGAAAAGCATGGTTCCCAATTTAGACATCTCTTGAAAGTCCATATTAAGAAGTGTTCCACTTACAGAGGTTCATTTAACATTAAGTCAATGGGTCACTGGACTGAAGTGTTCCACTTATGGAGGTGTTCCACTTATGAGGTTGTCCACTTATGAGGTTGTCCACTTATGAGGTGTTCCACTTATGGAGGTGTTCCACTTATGGTGGTGTTCCACTTATGGAGGTATTCCACTTATGGTGGTGTTCCACTTATGGAGGTGTTCCACTTATGAGGTGTTCCACTTATGGAGATGTTCCACTTATGGAGGTGTTCCACTTATGGAGGTGTTTCACTTATGGAGGTGTTCCACTTATGGTGGTGTTCCACTTATGGAGGTGTTCCACTCACAGGCTTTCCACTTGAAAAGGTTTAATGTAAAATAAATATTCCACGATTTGCATGACTAATCTGATTTGATCTTAACTATTATCACTTGAGAGGAAATGATCGAAATACTTTTCAATTTGATCAACACAAATTCTTTTTTATGAGTGCTCATCGTTCAATTTCTTCTAAAAAATTACACATCTTTATTTCCTTTGAACTTATTTTTTATCACATACATTTCAATAGACATTCATTCAGTCATCTTCACCAGTACTCTTTGAATCGATATTAAAAATAGTCAATATCTGTCTTGTCATGAATATCTGTTGAATAATCTCGAACTCCAATGCAGTGTCTCGGTATAGACACTGCGGCGGGCAGATTATGGAATCCCCAAAATTTGGGGAAGATAGTCCCCCATTTTGTCACAGATGTACTTGATTTTCATACAACTTATAAAATATATGTTCTTTTATGTTCACCAATCATTATTTTGTCAAAATATTTCAAAATTATTGAAATATGAGAAGAAATCACCGCGGAAGGAATTCTGAGTAAAAGTTTTGTTTATTAGTTAATACGCGCAATTCAACCAATGAAATTGTCTAAATTTTACAATCACGCGACCTGAGCATGGGACTAGAACCAATCACGTCAGTTGTTTATCACGAAGTTACCATGCTTACGGTGAGATACCTGCCCGCCGCAGTGATATTATCACTGCACGGGAGTTCGGAATAATCTGTGATAACGACTTTAATCCACAAAACATTAATCATTCACATACATTTTGTCCACTTCTTTTTATAGATTAGCATTATATGTGTACATGATTTCAAACTAGAATATACAATCTCTACATATGATCACACCATTTTATATATATTATTTACAATTAATTTAAACATTTAAAGCAAAAACTAACTTTTGGTGAATTTCAAAAAAAAGTATAAACAATTAACAAAAACATTTACTAGTATGCTGCAAGCGAATGGCGTTTTTAAAAAATCAAGTTCCAAAAATGTACAAAAATATTTTTATTTACATTCAGAACATGGGTGAAACTATGACGTAAATGAGTTAAATCATTTTCAAAGGAGATACAGTCATAATTTTATGATCGTCTACATAAACTGCAGAAACAATTCTTAAGGCTAGCTTTAAATAAAGATAGACTTTCTCACTCCGCTCCCCTATTTAAAGATCTTAAAATATTAAATATTTTTGATGTCAACAGATATTGTACTGGTCAGTTCATGTACAAAATCTTTAATAAGCACCCCAGTCTTCCAAAAAATCTATTTCAAGACTTGTTTGATATCAACATTAATATTCATCATCATTACACAAGACAATTGCATTATTTTCATATCCCTAAATGCTCTAAACTTTCCCTTCGCTATCTGGGTCCTAATCTTTGGAATGCTCTACCACATGATATTAAAAAATGCTCCACTCTAAATATTTTCAAATCTTCATATAAAAAACTACTCATCTATCGATAATGTATAATACCAATATCATACTATACTGTTGATTTTATACTGGTACCCGATTTTTGTAACATTTTTACATTGTACATCCTTAGATTAATTGTTAATACCATTTTTATATACCTACATGTAACATAATATAAGTGTTTTCTTTTATATGTAGTGTAGTTGTCATTTTAATGATTTCTGTTAAACCGCAACATATACCCACTAGGGTGTCTAGCGGCTTGTTTTTATAGTGTATATTATATAAGAATTATGAAATAAATAATTGAATTGAATTGAAAAAAATACAGAAGCATGATATGACACCAAGGCAAAGTCTCAAATCTAATCCCCAACTCCTCCCCGTTTTCGCCTTAACCAAAGCCTGAGAAAGAAAAATGGGGAGAGGCAGGGGTACAAAAACTCAATACAAGATTAATTTTGTAAAGCCACTACAGTGACGTATTTTCTCACTCACATGTGAATTTTTCAGAAATGTTAATATGGAGCAACAACATACAAACAAGTCCTAAATAGATTTATCTTCATAAGGAGAATCTATTTAATTTCCATGATTATGATTTCATAATTAATAATGAAATAGGCAATACTTTTATATCAATATTTACCAGTTCTGGTAGAATACTAAATTCAACATCAAAATACATTTAGGCTATTTAACGTTAAAATGACATTCAAAATTTAATGTTTTCATCTTTTTACAAAAGTGTGGTCTGTTTGGAACTACCTTGAGCTAACATTTTTGTTCGACGAGGATGCAGATTTTCATCTTTCAATGAGTTTTGCAGGAATTAATTCTTGAGAAAAATATCAAGATTTTTAACACCTTTTTAAACTACAGTGGCCAATTTTCTAGTATTTTTATATTATTTAAATGTCATCCCTGATTACTTAATTCCTTGCTGATCCACTCTTTTTTTAAATGAGACAATCTGGACAATTTTCAGAAGTATACATTAAGTACAGTAAAGCCTGCATATAATGAACACTTATGTTAGCCATAAAAAGCGTTCACTGGCTGTAGGTAGGTGTTCACTACAGAGAGGGGATTTAAGGAGGCAATGTAATATGTGTCTTGAAGTGGTGTTCACTAAACACAGGTGTTCTCTTCAGAGAGGTGTTCACTAAGACAGGTTTACCTGTTGTGAACATACATTGAGACAACAAATCCAGGATGGTAAAATTAAAGTTTACTTGTTTTATAAATTTTTGCGATGCAAATGAGGCAAATCTGATATATCACCATGACGTCAGTTTTCTCCTAAATGGTCCCATATATGGTTACATCAATACTTACTTATTTACAAAGAAGGACCATTTTACCCAGAAAACCAGCCAATCAAAATCCAGGCTTTGAATCATAGTTGTACAAAATGATGCTGTGAATCATGGGACATACTATACCTCCGTAGTCACAACTAAGAGGATACTGGTATATTAAAATGAGTACAGTTTCCATAAATTTAGTCTATACATTGTAATCAGCAACATTTCTTCTTGGGTTTTTTAGACCCAGCTCCCCCGAGTTTAACAGTCTCGTTAGGTTGAGCCAGTTTGGCTTGTTGGTCCTTTTTAGTTGAAAGTACTAATTTTGTAACTGCCATAAACATCTGAAAGCATACAAAGAAATAATTTTAATCATATGTGATCAACATCTCCCAAAGAAGGGGTAAGCCCCAAAATTCATATAAGAACCTATTTCCTCTAGAGGTACTCTTCACAAACATCTGGAAGTACAAAAGGAAATAGTCTTAAAGGGCTACATTTGGTATTATGGCTCAAATATGGTATAAGAGGTCACATTCAATGTATGAGGGGTCATATTTGGTATAAGGGCTCAAATATTGTAAAAGGGGTGGCATAAGCTATTAGGGCTCATATTTGGTATAGGGGCTCACATTTGGTATAAGGGTTCACATTTGGTGTCTCATTAAGAGGGTAGAAATTACTACTATACTAAACTCTTGACCTAAGGGTAACATGAGGCTGAGTAATAACTTCACTCTACAAGTATATACAATATTGGGTGCACAGAGGTTCTTACAGAAAAAATGTCACAATGACATGCTTTAAAATATCAAAAAATGACTAGAATTTGACGCCAACAACACATGGTAAGATAAAGCAATTACGCATGAAAGACCTGATAGAAAATGAGGCAAGGCAGATCATTAACCTATAGAGAAAAACTGATATAATGAGATTTTTCAACTGGTTAGATCACCTCAAACTGTGGCATTACATCACAGCTGGTAGTCATAAACTAACCAATAAGATTTCACAATATATGAATCAATAGGCTGACTAACAACAAAAATGGGACCTTTAGAATCTAATTATTCACTAAATTAGCCCTGTGCATGTGACCTGGATTTTATGACTGAATACCCTGAGACAGAGTATATCATAATCACTGCACTCTTAATATGAGACACATAAACAGATATAGCTACTTATGAAAGCAGGAAAATATGTGACTGCAATTTTTATTGGCTAACTATATTTAATTAGTTTGGCAAGGCTACTTCAAATACATTTTTTATTCGAAGAGGGCAGTTGAAGGTCTCGTCTTGAGAGTTGAAATCAAATGACTGAAAAAGGTGATGGAAAAGGGTAATAACTGTCAAAAAATTGTGTACTCATCTGCATATAACCTAACAGAACACATCATAGGCCAGTGATATCACCACCACAAGTCAGTGAGCAAGTGAGAGACTGGGGAAGTAGGATCATACAACAGAAATACAACTGATTTTGGTAAGTAAAATCTTCACTATTGTTTAACTGGTACAGTTTTTATGAGCAGTTCTGTACAGTTGAAATGACATTGTTGTTTTCGACTTTGTTTGTGCTGAACAAATCAGTCAGTCAGAATATGTCCCTTGCATTATATTTCAAAATGTTGATATACAGGCAAACACTCTTATTACATACATTTAGTTTTGCTAAATAACAATCAATAAATAGAAAACCACAAAAGATATTTGGTTTTCAGTCAGTATTCACTGTCTTCGAGACAGGGATTTGGAATTAGTGGAATCATTTCATAGTGCTGAAATCACCCCCCCCCCCGTTTAATTCTCTGGCTATGGCTCTGAATATATCTCAAGTAGAGATGATGCCAAGATCCATTATACCCCCCTTATACGCCCTCTCTATCACTGAGAGAATGAGGGGGGGAGGGTACGGGCTCATTCTCACTCATACACGAGTATAACTGTATAAAGAGAGTATGTTAAGAAAACAGATAGGAACATGATTCAGATCAGACTGACCCCGGCCCATCAGACAAATCGTCTAGAAATTATACATGATACTATACAGTTGGGAGGCAATAACATGTATGTATGTATGGTGTTCATATATGGTGTTTGCTTTTGCTAAGGGTGGCAACCAAACATTCATAGTGCAAGAGGAAGGCAACTAAACAATCTTAGTGCTGAGGCAACCAAATGATCACAGTGCTAAGCTAGACAATAATAGTGCTAAGCTAGACAATTATAGTGCTAGATTAGACAATCATAGTGCTAAGTTAGACAATCATAGTGCTGAGTTTGACAATCACAGTGCTAAATTAGACAATCATAGTGCTAAGTTAGACAATCATAGTGCTAAGTTAGACAATCATAGTGCTAAATAAGACAATCATAGTGCTAAATAAGACAATCATAGTGCTAAATAAGACAATCATAGTGCTAAGGGAGATAACAGAACTGCTAACGAAGGCAGTCATACTATTATAGTGCATTTTGAAATATAAAGATATAAATATTTCCAAGAGAAGTGACTTGCATATCTTGGATAGTCAAAACACTGAGTCAGAAAGTCATGCGCTCTTGGGAATTTAACCAACTTTAGATTAAGATCTAGCCTGAACTTCTGTTTTATCATATTTTTAAATATTCAAAACAAATTCTACAAGCGTTCAGTTGTTGTAATTTTTGATTCACCCAATTCCTCTGTTAACCACTCGCTTGGGATTTTTGGTGAAAAAGTCGCTGTGATTGTTCCCTAGGATTTTTGTGGGTGCAGAATTCTTAATTTCACAATTTAGATAAAATTTGGTCAAAATATGCCATTTTTTTAGAATTTTTCTTGTTTGGGTGCAAGCCTAATATCAAGTGGGTGCAAGCCTTTTATCATGTGGGTGCACCAACCACCCACTTGCTTATATGCTAGAAGACTACAGCTGCACAAGTCTATGAAAACATTTCCTGGATAACTGATACTCATAATTGAACATTGAAAGACCATAGAAATAAAATATTATAATTTGGAGTGAGTAATCCAGTTCTAGGAGATGCTGATCAAAAATCATTAAATTCCTGTGGCTGGAAAAGCTCTGTTATGAAGACAATATGCAATTATTCATAACCGAGTCTTGTGATATTGAATTATATTAATCCCTGGATTATATACTGTCTGGTTATAAAGATAATTGGACTGTATTGGATGACTTTTTATCGCACTTTGAAAAAGCTATATTGTCGTCATCAGTGCTTCACCTGTGTGTTTTCCGACATCCTCCGATCAAAGGGCTTCAAAATCCAGAATATATTCTTTCTTTTTACCCCCTGCGATAAGCAGTTAGCATTTCCCCAATTAAGAACTTGCAATCTGATTGGCTGTCGCAACAGTACGACAGAAATCATGTATAAGTCATTGCGCATAATTAGATCACATGATTCAGTTTAATCGGGCGCTTTCAAATTGGTTATAGCAGGGGTAAGAAGAAGGTACAGATTCTGGATACCTGCTTAGGAGGATGGTTTTCCAAAGAACCACTTATCCATTTAACTTGAAATTTTTACAGATGCAAGATTGTAAGAGCAGACTATTGCCAAAATTTGATTTTTTTTTATTGATTTATTTATATTTATACAAAGAATACATTAAACAAGTGCACATGTGCTTGTGGCTGGGCATCAGCATTATCAGCCACGTTATATGATGAAGTTGCCAAAATTTGATTAGGTTTTGGGCATGCTGGGTAAATTACATGGTGGCCATTTTTCTCATCAAAATGCGATAATTATCGCTGTGTGTCTTGTTTAATTTATAAATCATGTGTCAAACATATTCCATTGTTGAACAAACATGAAGTTGACTCTCAAGATCATGTCATAATATAATTGTTCTATTTGTAGCTCGAAAGACATACCCCAACAAAATAGTAAAAGATGGCGCTATTACAGATGAACATACTGATTGGCTCATTGATGCTTCTGTCTTCCTATTTAGCAGTTGGTAAGAACTTGTTTTGAAAATATTTTTGGAGGGAGGGGGGTGGGTAATGCCCATCTAGTTTAATAAGGTGATGTACTATTTCCATTAAGCAATTTAAGCCCAAGACTCAAGGCATTGTTTGCTGAATCATACCATGAAGGTGTTGTTTCCAAACCTTTGCATGACCGCGCAGGGAAACAATTCTTTTCACACATTGCAAATTTTTTCTAAAATAACACATTTTCAATGAATCTTTTTGCAAGGGTCAAGTTGACAAGTCATCAAATCCAATGTTAAAAATCCATTCATCACCATGACAACTATTTAACTAGTGACCTTGCATGTGTTATTGATATTTCAAACACTGTGCATTATGTGAATACTCTGTTTGGATTGGCTGGAATCGGCCACGCCTTGCCTAGCTATGTGTGAATACATTATTAAAGAATAGACTCTTGTCAATTGTGTCATCAGAATTAAAGTAAAACTGAGTATCTATCTGTCACTGACTTCAAAGTTTTACTATTGCAAGAGCAGACACGTGCAAAAAACTGATTTAATTTTGGGCATGCTAGGTAAAATATTTGGTGGCCATTTTGTAGTGAGATTTTTCAAGTTGAGTTAATTTGATGCCATTATTAAATGCCATATTTATAGTAATTTAAATGCCATATTTACAGTGCATGGTCTCCAGTGCTTCTCTTGCACTACTATGGACAATGAAGCCGCATGTGGAGATGCCATATTAAATGCCATATTTATAGTAATTTAAATGCCATATTTACAGTGCATGGTCTCCAGTGCTTCTCTTGCACTACTATGGACAATGAAGCAGCATGTAGAGATGCCATATTAAATGCCATATTTATAGTAATTTAAATGCCATATTTACAGTGCATGGTCTCCAGTGCTTCTCTTGCACTACTATGGACAATGAAGCCGCATGTGGAGATGCCATATTAAATGCCATATTTATAGTAATTTAAATGCCATATTTACAGTGCATGGTCTCCAGTGCTTCTCTTGCACTACTATGGACAATGAAGCCGCATGTGGAGATGCCATATTAAATGCCATATTTATAGTAATTTAAATGCCATATTTACAGTGCATGGTCTCCAGTGCTTCTCTTGCACTACTATGGACAATGAAGCCGCATGTGGAGATGCCATATTAAATGCCATATTTATAGTAATTTAAATGCCATATTTACAGTGCATGGTCTCCAGTGCTTCTCTTGCACTACTATGGACAATGAAGCCGCATGTAGAGATGCCATATTAAATGCCATATTTATAGTAATTTAAATGCCATATTTACAGTGCATGGTCTCCAGTGCTTCTCTTGCACTACTATGGACAATGAAGCCGCATGTGGAGATGCCATATTAAATGCCATATTTATAGTAATTTAAATGCCATACTTACAGTGCATGGTCTCCAGTGCTTCTCTTGCACTACTATGGACAATGAAGCCGCATGTGGAGATGCCATATTAAATGCCATATTTATAGTAATTTAAATGCCATATTTACAGTGCATGGTCTCCAGTGCTTCTCTTGCACTACTATGGACAATGAAGCCGCATGTAGAGATGTCATATTAAATGCCATATTTATAGTAATTTAAATGCCATATTTACAGTGCATGGTCTCCAGTGCTTCTCTTGCACTACTATGGACAATGAAGCCGCATGTGAAGATGCCATATTAAATGCCATATTTATAGTAATTTAAATGCCGTATTAACAGTGCATGGTCTCCAGTGCTTCTCTTGCACTACTATGGACAATGAAGCCGCATGTGGAGATGACATATTAAATGCCATATTTATAGTAATTTAAATGCCATATTTACAGTGCATGGTCTCCAGTGCTTCTCTTGCACTACTATGGACAACGAAGCCGCATGTGGAGATGCCATATTAAATGCCATATTTATAGTAATTTAAATGCCATATTTACAGTGCATGGTCTACAGTGCTACTCTTGTACTACTATGGACAATGAAGCCGCATGTGGAGATGCCATATTAAATGCCATATTTATAGTAATTTAAATGCCATATTTACAGTGCATGGTCTCCAGTGCTTCTCTTGCACTACTATGGACAATGAAGCCGCATGTGGAGATGCCACATCAAATGCCATATTTATAGTAATTTAAATGCCATATTTACAGTGCATGGTCTACAGTGCTACTCTTGCACTACTATGGACAATGAAGCCGCATGTGGAGATGCCATATTAAATGCCATATTTATAGTAATTAAAATGCCATATTTACAGTGCATGGTCTACAGTGCTACTCTTGTACTACTATGGACAATGAAGCCGCATGTGGAGATGCCACATCAAATGCCATATTTATAGTAATTTAAATGCCATATTTACAGTGCATGGTCTACAGTGCTACTCTTGCACTACTATGGACAATGAAGCCGCATGTGAAGATGCCATATTAAATGCCATATTTATAGTAATTTAAATGCCATATTTACAGTGCATGGTCTCCAGTGCTTCTCTTGTACTACTATAGACAATGAAGCCCCATGTGGAGATGCTAAGTTTGACCTGACTGTTGTCGTTGGTAATACTACATGCAATGCAGCAAGTAATTGTTGTGAAGGGAGATACTGCACCAAATCAAAGGGTCTTTCATTAGGTAAGTGATATGATATTATTGGTAACACTACATGCAATGCAGCAAGTAATTGTTGTGAAGGGAGATACTGCACCAAATCAAAGGGTCTTTCATTAGGTAAGTGATATGATATTATTGGTAACACTACATGTAATGCAGCAAGTAATTGTTGTGAAGGGAGATACTGCACCAAATCAAAGGGTCTTTCGTTAGGTAAGAGATATGAGGGCTGTTCTATACTGTACTTCTACTTAATTTGGTGGCCGTTTTAATTTGGCAGATCCGCCATATTCTTTAAGTACCGTGTACACCAAATAAAGTAGCCACCAAATTCCCCGGTAAATTAGTACCATTAGCATATTGTAACATTACAAGTTCGCCAAATTAAGTAGACGCCATATATTCAAAACAGCAAATCCACCAAAATACACAATTTAGATCACCATGCACACTTAGGTTTCAAACTGAAGTAACTCAAAGACCCACTTATATCTATAATTTTCTGACCGGGAATTGTCCGTTTTGAAATTATTATTTCAGTGGATGGTTAAATTTATCTACAGGGTGAGCCAAAAAAGGTCCTCCAATATCACAGGCTGGTATCGAAAGATTTGTCCGCTGTGACGGAGCATGCTATTTTTCATAAAAAAACACTAAGAATGCTTCACGATTTATTTTTTAACGCATATGTTTCGTTATATCAAAGATAATTACTTACTCCATGCAATGGATATATCATCTGCGTGTAACCTTCACTTCTGTTTGAAGTCCAATAACGTTAGGAGTAAAATCTATTGAAAACGTCGACAGAGTATCAAACTCTAAAACGTACCATTTCTTTTTAACTTTTTAATGACATGATATAGTGACACGATAATATTAACATATGTTTTCAGCATAACTCTGAATGTATTAATGAGATATTAATGCATTAGGTCTTTTTAATTTTTTTATAAAAAATAATATTAATATTTTTTGTCCGCTGTGACGGAGCATTTTCACAGTTCACATTTGCAACTGCTCCGTCAAAGCGGACAAAAAAATTAAACATTATTTTTTTATAAAAGAATTAAAAAGACCAAATGCATCAACATCTCATTCATACCTTCATAGTTATGCTGAAACCATGTGTAAATATTATCGTGTCACTATATCGTGCCATTAGAAAGTTAAACAAGAAATGGTACATTTTGAAGTATGATACTCCGGCGCCATTTTCAATAGCTTTTCTTCCCAGCGTAATTGGACTTCAAACAGAAGTGAAAGTTACCCGCAAATGATATATCCATTGCATGGAGTAAGTAATTTTGTATGGTATAACGAAACATATGAGTTAAAAAATAAATCGTGAAGTATTCTTAGTGTTTTTATGAAAAATAGCATGCTCCGTCACAGCGGACAAATATTTCGATACCAGCCTGTGAATATGGGTTTTAATATAAAAAACATTTTCACGGCTATTGTTTAGGTATTACAACTATCACCAGGGGCTGTGCAAATGCTGGGCCCTCCGACACTGCAATAGCGACCCCCTCGTGTAAAAACACAAAGGCAAGCAGTTCTGGAGTTGAAATTGAATCATGGCGCTGTAGCTGTACAGGATCGGATTATTGTAACAGCGGAACAACTATGACGCCATCTATAGTTATCTTTATTATCGCAACGTTGATTATTTAACATCATGCTAAAAGACAGACGTACTTGTGTGGATACATGTATGTATGAAGAAAGGACAACTGTCTGTATATAGGTATACTCTAAAAAGATGTTCAAAAGAAATGCCTCATTTGATGTAGATCTGTAGATGTAGAAATGTATTTTGATGTATATAAATTGAGGTCAATTTTGTTTAAATGTGTATTTGGAAATGTTACTTTTATTGAAATGTGTATTTGGTAATGTTAATTTTATTGAAATGTATATCAGGCAATGTCAGTTTTGTCAAAAAATAATGTATATAAAGAAAGGTCAAATTTATTTAAATGTAGGCTATATCAATTAACAAAGGTTAATTCTGTTTAAATGTATATCATATTAATAAAGGCCAACAATGTATAAAGATATGTGGTGTTAACTTTGTGTTCATGGATTAAACAATACACACATAAACATACTAGTCCGGATGTGAAGTGCCATATTTTAAGTGAAGGTGGAAATGCTTATTATATGAACTTTTTTTGCATTTTCTGTTTAAACATGATATCCATATTCAGAAACTGTCGGATGCCCAACGGGCATTCTTGAGGAATTTTTTTGGCGGCCATTTTGAATTTTCATACGTTTTTTGTATTTTAGCCAGCATATTAGAATAGAAAACTAGCATACACATAAACAAATCTTGCTGTGTTTTCTATAATAGAGTTTTAATATGATGTATACCAATATGTTAGGTTCCAGAAATGTTTCTTGACAAAAATAAAAAAAAATTCAAGATGGCCGCCAACCTTACAATTTATGAATTGTCTCATTCTGTGATAATATCAAATTGATATTAGTGTTTACAAAATTATCAATAAATAATACTAAATACATCTGATTATGATCTCTTTCTCACATATAAAATATCTGAAATGAGTAAAAAGTAACCTACATAATGATAATAATGATGTTCCACAAGGGTCATTTCTTGGTGCTATATATATCTTGAATTTATGAATTATCTTCTTTTACTAAGATTTCATCAAGGATTTCCCTCAATAAATCCTCATCAGTTTCTTCCAATTCCTGTTCAGTTACTGTCTTTGTATGTTGATTATTGCATTCATTCCCCTTGCAAACACAGAACAATGTACAGTAGAACCTGTATATCTGAACACCTGGCTAATCCAAACACCTCCCAATCTGAACACTTTTTTTGGTCCCATTTTTTCCTCCCATTGACTCACATGTTAAAAAAAACTTGAAATGTGAACACCTCCCAATTTGAACAGTGAACAGTCATATTTGAAAAATTCACCTGTCTAATCTGAACACTTTTCTTAAAATTTCTGATGTTTTATACAAAATTGCTCAAATATTGTCATGATATCAAAACTTTGAGAAATAATCTTGAATGGTCTCATTCATAATGGGGCTTTCCAGCATGATTAGATTCATTTGAATCAAATTTTCAAATTTCTGGAATGCCATAAAGCTATCTTGTCAAAAGAACTATAAATATTTACCGAGAATGTGTTCACATTTCTTCAGAATCTGGATTATTGCGGATGCAAAAACCTCGAAATGTGAACACCTCCTAATCTGAACACTTTTATCCGGTCCCAATGGCGTTCAGATAAGACAGGTTTCACTGTACATGATACAGATGCCTTGGAGCATGAGCATAGCCCAGTTCTACATACATTGCCCTCTGATGCACATGTGCACTTAATGAGCTGGAGAATTCCTTCAGGGGCACAGGGTGTATCCTTGGGCATTGTTGTTGGGACAAGTGAGCTTGTGCTGTTAATTTCCCAACCATAATCTGTTGGAAGGATAAGTGGGGGGTCAGGCATATCAGCAGTTTTCCATATAGCTACTTGGAAATGAGCTCGCTTCACATGCTGGGAAAATGCTTCTGTTGTTGGTGGGAGGGATTTTAGCTTTGGTGCATTTGTAATGTGTTTTGCAGCATTTTTCTTTGCTCATACAGCATATCTCACATCAGATATTTTGTCTGTGACTTTAGGTATAATTCCATAACATCTAGAAACAAATTCTGTTGAAGTTTTCTCAACTTCAGTCATGTCTGCACTGACATCTCCTAAGTTAGCGAGTGAGTATCTATTTAACACCTTCAGGACTGTTAGCTTGCCAATTCCATGCATGCAAGATGTCGTATCACTGCCAGAGAGACCATGAGCAGCTAACAATTTTGGGATTTTTAATTTGTGTTCATTTACGGTTGCATTAATGTTTGCTCGGCCAGATGATGTTCCCTCCATTATGATGTTATTTTCCATTAACTTGTGCTTGAGACAATGATGAAGAAGTAGAAGGAAAACATCAGTATCATCACTGAGTACACTGATATTATGTTGGCCTTTACTGGCAGCATGCAGAACCTGGTGTACGATAACAACATCTGCTTCTTCTTAAGTGTTCCTTAGTCATCACGTTGGTAAATATTGCCTTTGTGAATTTGTAAAGGTGTTGTCTCAGGATGTACTTTAAGTGAAAGCAATACAGAAGTTTTCAATTTTGCCAGCCATCGGCCATGTTATGATCCAAAGGATGGCACACCCATCAACGACACATACATTGCAATTGTTTCCTCTTGAGGTCACCTCAATCTGTAACTTTTGTTTCAGTGTTGATTTTGAAGTTGTGATATTAATTTCCCCATTTTCATCAAATAGTGATAATGGAGGGAACATCATCTGGCCGAGCAAACATTAACATTAATGCAACCGTAAATGAACACAAATTAAAATCCCAAACTTGTTAGCTGCGCATGGTCTCTCTGGCAGTGATACGACATCTTGCATGCATGGAATTGGCAAGCTAACAGTCCTGAAGGTGTTTCTAGATGTTATGGAATTACACCTAAAGTCACAGACAAAATGTCTGATGTGAGATATGCTGTATGAGCAAAGAAAAATGCTGCAAAACACATTACAAATGCACCAAAGCTAAAATCCCTCCCACCAACAACAGAAGCATTTTCCCAGCATGTGAAGCGAGCTCATTTCCAAGTAGCTATATGGAAAAATGCTGATATGCCTGACCCCCCACTTATCCTTCCAACAGATTATGGTTGGGAAATTAACAGCACAGGCTCACTTGTCCCAACAACAATGCCCAAGGATACACCCTGTGCCCCTGAAGGAATTCTCCAGCTCATTAAGTGCACATGTGCATCAGAGGGCAATGTATGTAGAACTGGGCTATGCTCATGCTCCAAGGCATCTGTATCATGTACAGTGAAACAGATTCCAACAGATTATGGTTGGGAAATTAACAGCACGGGCTCACTTGTCCCAACAACAATGCCCAAGGATACACCCTGTACCCCTGAAGGAATTCTCCAGCTCATTAAGTGCACATGTGCATCAGAGGGCAATGTATGTGGAACTGGGCGATACACCCTGTGCCCCTGAAGGAATTCTCCAGCTCATTAAGTGCACATGTGCATCAGAGGGCAATGTATGTAGAACTGGGCGATGTTCATGCTCCAAGGCATCTTTATCATGTACATTGTTCTGTGTTTGCAAGGGGAATGAATGCCATAACCAACATACAAAGACAGTAACCGAACAGGAATTGGAAGAAACTGATGAGGATTTATTGAGGGAAATCCTTGATGAAATCTTAGTAAAAGAAGATAATTCATAAATTCAAGATATATATGGCACCAAGAAATGACCCTTGTCGAACATCATTATTATTATGTAGGTTACTTTTTACTCATTTCAGATATTTCATATGTGAGAAAGAGATCATAATCAGATGTATTTAGTATTATTTATTGATAATTTTGAAGGAAACACTAATATCAATTTGATATTATCACAGAATGAGACATTTCATAAATTGTAAGGTTGGTGGCCATCTTGAATTTTTTTTATTTTTGTCAAGAAACATTTCTGGAACCTAACATATTGGTATACATCATATTAAAACTCTATTATAGAAAACACAGCAAGATTTGTTTATGTGTATGCTAGTTTTCTGTTCTAATATGCTGGCTAAAATACATAAAACGTGTGAAAATTCAAAATGGCCGCCAAAAAAATTCCTCAAGGATGCCCGATGGGCATCCGACAGTTTCTGAATATGGATATCATGTTTAAACAGAAAATGCAAAAAAAGTTCATATAATAAGCATTTCCACCTCTATTGGCTCTACATCCAGACTATACCTAACAAAGCATTGTATGAAAGTCATGTGAAAGATAGCGGGCTATATCCACCAATATTGCTAAATTACCGCGATATTGCCCCCTTACCTCATTTTGATATGAGATTCTTTAATAACCATTGCAATGGGAGCATGTAATGCTTCATTTCAATCAAATTTTACTCGCACGCAGATGTGTGACGTCATTGATACAAAGAAGTTATAGTAATAAAGGTATGTGATACATCAGTTATGTCACCATGACCTGAAACATGCCTTCATTTTTCCCAAATATAGAGCCTCCCAAGGTTGGCCTATATTGGGCAGGCCCGTAGCCAGCGAAATCATGCAGTTTTTCACCATTCTGAGCACTTTTTATTAACTGATTTCGGCCATTTTTGGGACCAAAATTGTCACAAGTGAACCCCCCTGGAATTTCTCAAAAAGTGAACCCCCCTTGGCGAATCCTGGCTACGGACCTGTTGGGAGAACTCTGGCATTTTCATGTCATAGTGATGTAACCTCTATGTATAGTATAATAAAGATATTCATTATGTTTTGCAAACATTTCCAAGTATGAACTCAGTAAAACCTGTGTATATAAAACCAGTCTAATCAGAAAATCAGTGGGACCATGTTCAGGTGGGGAGATGTTCAGGTGGGGAGATGTTCACATTGGGGAGATGTTCAGATATATAGGTTTTACTGTAAACATGTCAAAGATTATTGCACCAACTTAAATCTTAAATGGGAATTATGAAAATAGGCCAAGCAAATGGGCTCATAAAAGGCCCAAACATCCCAAAAATTGCAACAGTTTTTAAATTAGTCTTATATTATGTATTAATATCAGTTGAAAAACATATCAAAAATATAGAAAAATGTATGCAGTGGACAAATATGAAATTTCACTTCCTAGGTACCCCCTACAACCCTACCCCAAAATTGAGTATTGGTAGGAAACAATTTTTTCTTCCCAAATGGAATACTTTAGTCAAGTATTCAAGCTTTATTATGATAGATCATATATTCACAAATAATTAGAATATAATTTTAATCAATTTTGAGACCAGTAATTGGTCATTTGACCCCAAAGTATAACAAAATAGGCCACAAAACAGGCATGTTATCACATATCTATTTAGATATTTTAGGATCAGTTTGTCAGAAAAGCATGAAAAAAATCGTGGTGTTACATATTCATATGAACTTTATATTTGGTGAGTGTCAGAATTCTAAGGTGTATACTTAGGATGAAAAAAATTATTTCATTTTCATAGTTTTGCCCCGCCCACTATAGGGGAGACTATAGTTTTGATGATTAACTCCCACAATGCATCACATTTGTATTAGAGTTGACATCTAAATCATTTATATAGGCTTGTCATCATCTAAAATACAAGTTTTGTGAAGGTTTATACCTTATTAGTATGAAAAATAGGAATTATTAGTTGCACCAGGTGAAATGTTAAGGTGACCTCACTTTTATTTGATGAATAATTACATATCACCACTCTGATATTAGGGTATTTGATAACTGCTCTATACTAGGCTTATCTAAATAATGTAAGTTGTAGTTTTTGTGGAATTTAATATTGTTTAAATTATTAATTACAATCCGCAATTACAAAATTTGCATATATTTAAATTCATCAGATAAATAAATCATTACATAAGAGTACATTACTATGGAACTATCAATTGGATGTATAATGCTGTAGAAACGAATTTATGGTTATTAAACGGAATTTAAACTGACAGAGAACATTAAAATCTCAGATATCTGGGGAGTCTTTCATAATATAATTTCAGTGCATAGGAATGATGGTAATTCTGTCTGTCAGGTTGGAAAACATTGAGTGTACATGTGCTGCATTCAGAATCGGATGCAGATATTGTGATTGTGAAAACTGCAATCCAAAGTGTCCAAACCTCAAATACAGTACTCATACAGATCTCCTTGTGCTTCTCATTTATCATGCACAAAACACATACTTCAATATTTTCTTCAAACCTGAACCAAAAGCAGCAACCCAAGAAACAAAATGTTGGAATATAAATGAAATAAGATTGTATTTGGGAAAAGTGGTCTGTGACAATATTTTGTTTCTTTTCTGGGGTGTGACATCGCATTCAGGTTATATATGGCATAGACAAGAGGCTATCATTGAGACAGATAAAAAAGAGTGAGTTCTTGAGAAAACAAGCGGCTGTTTTTAAATTACCAAAAGCACTGGTGATCCGCTCGATTACGCTTGTCGTTTCGGTAACAAAATGTCTAAACGTCGAAAGTACGATATTTCTTTTTTCCTTTTTTTCACGCGTTGTAGGCAGAATCCCCACGATGTTTTTTCTCACAGAATTGTTGATTTAATTCCTTACTTAAGTTAAATAAACGGTTTGGGTTAAAAGTGCAGATCTTAATTGTTTATCGAAATACCGTTTATGTAACTTAAGTGAGGAATTAAATCGAAGATTCTTCTGAACCTGTATTTGTTCGCAAATATGTACATTTTTTAAACATATAATACTGATACATGTTTGTAATAACAATGTTGTGGGAATTCTGCCTACAATGTGTGAAATAAAGAAAAAAGAAAAATCAAACCTTCGATGTTCCGACATTTTGTTACAACGTAAACAAGTAGAAAACCAGTGAAATGCAAGCAACTCTGTCATTGCAGAGGAACATGCTCTTTTGTCAATTTATGGTGGAAAAATGGTGAAACCCTAAATTATCTTAGGCTTCTAAAATTCTATTAAAAGAGAGCAGCAAGATCTGAATTATTGCAGCCCTGTGTTCTTCCTCCATTTTCTGATGCTACGGAATACCACAGTTACAGAGTGTACCATCAGATCCAGGAGTGGGAGGGAAATAAACTGCCTCCATTATAATTGGGCTGGGAAATAAGCAACGAAATATGTACTAATTGCCTAAATGCAGCTCCCCTTTCTCAGAGATCATCCATTGTGTGTGTAAGGCAGATTCTATTTCTATGAGATGTTCTTGTAGAAAAATGAAATAACTGTTCTTTGACATGTAAGGTATGCAAAGGCATTTGTGCAAATACCTCCATTACTGATCATGAGAATAATGATGACTAAATAATGAACACTGGCAGATCTGGGCCACTCCCACCCCCTTGGGCGGGCCCAGAAAAAAATTGGGCCCAAAAAAGGCCCCGAAAAGTGGGCCTTTTGTCATAGATGGGCCTTTTAAAGCCTTATTTTTAATTGAAGAAAATGGGTCCCAATATTTCAAAATTTGGGCCCACTTCAGGGTTTTAGGGGCCCAACATTTTTTCCGCGGAAGTTTTTTCTCAGACCTGACATTTGCCCCCCCCCCTTGTTGGTTCCCATATCTGCCCCTGATGAAGGCTGGTGATAGACAAGGTTGTAACTGATTGTTGTTACAACATAATAGTATTAAGCTTATTTAATCAGCATTCTTTTTTGCTCTCTATAAGTAAGACACATATATGAAGGTTAAGATTACAGAATTAAGGCAGCATTTTTGATAATGAACATAACATAATCGAACCAGGCCCTGTATAAAGACCAGGGATTTACTTTGCGTTACACTAGTTAACTCAGGAGGATTTACTAATGTAGAAACCTTTTCCTCATTTTTTATTGAATTTCATCTTGACTTCGAACATTCTTCAGTTGAACTTCTTCATTTCATTTCTCAATATCACTGTGTGGTTAAGAACACCTTAGTCAAAAGTAACAATTTTTCCTTAATACAGGGCGAGCCAAAAAGGTAACCCAAACAAATCTTAATAATCCAGTCCAATCATCCTGCATGGATTTAGTGTCATATTTGGCAGAATTGAGTCTTGGTCAATGTATTATCAATCTACCCAGTCTCAGTGGTGTCTAGTGGTCACGATTCTATGGCCATTTTATACCATGCCATGAAATATGGGTGTCATGCCTGGAGGCCAACTTGAAGGTATCGTGCGTTGTTGTTCAAATCAGGAGCATAAAAATCATGTGTTATGACTCTCATCTTCATCTCTTGTTTTAATGTTTCAAGTGTTGTTAGTAACGAAAAAAGGTCCACAGATAAAAAAAACTGGTGGTATTGATGTCCAGTCAGTTAGGCACATTTCGATATTTTGAGCACATTTTGTAAATGGCCATAAAATCGTGACTATTAAGGATAGATCAATGACACTTAGTAGAATGAAAGAACATTGAATGACTGCTGAATGACTGGGTTATTAACAAACATTTGGTTGGGTTACCTTTTTTGGCTCATATTAATAAACTGATGTCAGGGACAGGGATATTTAACATTTGCCTTTTCAAGGACATTTTTTGACCACTGATCGTAACAAATCGTTCTCTGTTTTACCAGAAAGGGTATATTATATATCAAATTGAATTTAAAAGGAAAAAACATTTGATAATTTAACAGTTATCAACTAAAAGTAGGGCTTCCCCTATATTTCACCTGGCATTTGCTGTTTTTCTACTTTTTTTTACATAATCCTTTCCTGAAAACCTCAAAAAAACTGTTTTAAGGACAAAATAAGCCTTTGCAAATAATTTATTTGTGCTATTGAGTTCAGATATGACATATCTTGGAAGTAATTAAACAAAAGTAAGGTCACCCCAAAAGTGGGTGTGGTAAAATATTGAAATTTCAAATATTATTTTCACGCTCAATATTCACTTAATGACCCTGATACTTATCAAAGACAATGTTCAGGTGTACAATACCCTCCTTGATATTTTTCATGCAATTCTGATGAATTGATACAGAAATAAATACATTGTTATATTAAATTCGGGCTATTTGATGGCCTATTTTCAGATATTTGGCGCTAGAAATGCCAATTATTGCACTCAAATAGTTGGTTAACATTTTTTAGTTGCTCTTATGTCAGTAAACTATCATAATATTACTCGTTTAGTTGACAAGAGTATTCCATTTTGAAATAACAAAATATTTACAATCCCATACTCAAATTTGGAGGGGGGTACCTGGAATGTGACATTTCATATTTGTCCACTGCATATATTTTTCTATATTTTTGATATGTTTTTCAACTGGTATCAATATACAACATAAGCCTAATTTAAAAACTGTTGCAATTTTTGGGATGTTAAACTTCCATTTGCCTAGCCTAAAAGGCACACTTCGATTTAAATTGCGAAAATGAGACAAAAACAAATTCGAGGAGCACACTGCCATCTATCAATAGTTACACTGACTAAGTATAAGATTCTCCATAACATATTATGGGTCAAAAAATTATCCAGGAAAACCTGTTTAATCCGAGCAGTATATTTGAGATGTTTTTCAACTGGGTATTCTATCTCCACCAGATATCCCAAAGGTATTACATCACAGATGGTGGCCACAAACACCTCCAATAAGACATAATTATAAGTCAATCAATTAATGAATACATTGAATAAATCATGGAATCTTGAAGTAATCATTTACTAAATTAGTCTCGTTGCTATGTTATGGCATAGTTGCTATGACTGTCCAAATTTTCGACCAAATTAGTATATATAACCAGAAGCATCTTAGTGATAGCATCATCAAAACAAGAAAGATAGAACAAAGAAGGATTATATAAAGACATAAAATCCAAAAACTGATTTGGTTTCTCTTTATCTTCAGGATTTACTTGTTACAAGTTATCAGGTATGTATTTTTGTTCAATTTGTGTTTAACTATTTTTTATAGGCCTAAAATAACTTTTTTAGCCATGCGATTTATTATTTGAATGGAAAATATATTTTCAAACTTTGCAAGGGGCCTTTAAGGATTCACTATAGTTTATATTAGGTGTGTATGAAAATTTTTTTGATTGTTTTTTTAAACCAATCATAGTCAAGTAACTGAAAATATAAGATCAGCCTATATTTGTCCTACGGTGTTGGTTTTGAATTATGACAATTCTTTCAGAATGGTAGATAGATCAGTGACATTAGACAATGTTCTTTTGCAAACAAGATCATTTAAGATGCCTTGGGTTTTCTTATGATAGGTTGTACTTTTAAACATTTCTTTTCTAAATATTTTTGGGTCTTTCCTATTCTGCTACTCATTCCATATCCTAACAAGAGGAGGAAAAACCCCAGAGTTTTAGAGATAACAGAAGTAATTATGTCTCTTGCTTATCACCTTCGTTTGTTCAAATTTCCACCAGCTAGTTTCGAAATACTTCAATTCGATATGATGTTTTAATTGATGTAGGTATATTCCGTAAACCTTTCTTTATCTTGACGTAAAATAAGACTGGTTAAGATGGTTAACATGCCAGAAATTAACATAATATTATTCAAAGCGGTTTTCGAAAATTATGAAGCTGTCATTGATGACGTCATTTGATTGTCGATTTTTGACCAATCAGAGATGTATGTCATCTCAATACAGGTTCACATTATAAGCAATTATGTCATCTTTGAACTCAGGAGTTATTCCCCTCTGATCATAACCATGAAGTTTCATCCTGCAATGCAAGATCAAGAAATTGCCATGGAAATAATGTGATGCTAAATCAAGAGGTTGCCATGGTAATATATGTGATGCTCAATCAACTGCCATGGAAATAATGGAGGAGAGAGGTTGCCATGGTAATACAAGTGAAACTAAATCCAGAGGTTACCATGGTAATACATGTGAGGCTCAATCAAGAGATTACAATAATAATACTTGTGATGCTAAATCAAGATTGCCATGGTAATACATATGATGCTGTATCGAGAGGTTGCCATGGTAACACATGATTGGCCTTTCCTGTTTTGGCACTTGTGTTTGCATGTTTGGACTGACCAAAAATCATTAAACTAACATATGCAATAATAAATAATTCATGTGACAGATAGTAGTTCATTCATAGATTATCAACCCAGGGGTCATTTACAGAAAGTTCATGAAGTTTAAGGTGCTATGGAAGTTAACAGGAAATGACAAAACAGGAAGTGAATTTTTTTTGCATTTTTAGACATTTTTTGAACAAAGATAACAGAGTTTTATTTTGACCTCCAGTCAATTCGACTAGTTCCAAATACCATTTACTGGTCCAGGATCACAATGTTCATGGTCAGAATGACCCTAAACATGATGAAATAACCTTTTCAGCCCTCTGAAAATGTGACTGAAAAATAGCTAAAAGTAGGAGCTAGGGAAGGTCACTGAACAGAATATTTTGAATTTTTCAGAAAATGCTCTAACTGATACAATCTTTGAAATTTTAGAAAATTGTCTGAAACAAAAATGGCGGTCATAAAAAGGAAAATAGATAGCTTTTCAAATCAGTTTTTTCATTTTTTTTTACTTTTCTATGAATGATATCAAATTTTCAAGAATTGTATCATTTAGATCAATATATTGGGCACATTTTCTGAAAAATTCGAAAGATTCTGTTCAGTGACCTTTCCTATCTCCTTCCTTTGGCTATTTTTCAGTCACATTTTCAGAGGACTGAAAAGGTTATTTCATCATGTTTAGGGTCATTCTGACCATGAACATTGTGATCCTGGACCTGTAAATGGTATTTGGAACTAGTCGAATTGACTGGAGGTCAAAATAGAACTCTGTTATCTTTTTCAAAAAATGTCTAAAAACGCCAAAATTTTTTCACTTCCTGTTTTGTCATTTCCTGTTAACTTCCATAGCACCTTAAAGTTTTAGTTCATAACTTTTGGTCGCAAGTCATTTTCAACAAACATTAGACAACGGTTTTTTAGTCCATTTCTAGTTTAAAATTTAGCCATTATATTCCTGGATGCCTGACAAGAAAAATATAAAGTAAAGGCCATTCATAGATTAAAATTGTCTTAATCATAATGCATTTGTCTAAAAATGAGAGCATACACATCAAAACAGGAAAGAGTAAGGGCAACAAAAAAAGAAACATTTAAAATCACAACCATTCAAAATGTGAACTATCTCCCAAACTATTATATAAAATTATACAATGAAAAAATGTCGAACTCCCTAATATAAGGAATATTGTGACAAAACAAGAAGAACAAGACAAGACTATGTGACATTTGTTGAAGTCTTATATCTGCTTACAGGACACGCACGATGGCGAAATTTAAGATGAGCAATCTTATTGGCTCACTTATGCTTCTATCTACGTGCTTAATTGTAGGTACGTAATTATTTTGAAAATATACCATTGAACAATAGAAAATTGATTAAATTCTCTTTCGCAACTCTTTAACAGTTTAGTTCAAGCATGCTACAATTTCTATTATCTTTCTAGCCTTTAATAACAAACAGTATCGTTTCTTAATTTCTATTTTTAAAGGATTCAATTTGTATCATTTCTTATTCAATCATTTAAAAGCCTTCGATTTAGTACAATAATTTCATTTTGTGCAATTTCTATAGAATGTATTTGCAACAACCCTCTTTCAGATACAATACATCACAGTACTTATAAAAGCCCTATAACAGATACATGTATTCCAGGTGCGCAACTATGCATGCGTGAGGGTACACAGTTGCGTACCCTGAATGATGGAGTAGTGCCCTATGACACAGTCTGATATCTCTCAGAATGCACCATTTAAGGTTTAAAATCAAGAATTAAACCCCCCTAGTTTTGCTTGGCCTTCAGCCTCGCGTACCTGCTATCAAAATCCTGGTTACGCCACTGCATCCATAGCATTCCATGTATATAATTAATACTATTTATAGTGCACAGTCTCCAATGCCACTCATGTCTGACAATAGACAACAACGCCGCATGTGGAGATGCTGGTTTTAACTTAACTGCGATTGGAAATAATGAAACATGTGATGCATTGACCAATTGTTGTGAAGGACAGTATTGCACTAAATCAAAGTCAATAACATTAGGTAAGATATTAACATTAGGTAAGACATTAACATTAGGTGAGACATTAACATTAGGTAAGACATTAACATTAGATAAAACCTGTCTTTTCTGAACATCACTGTGACTTATCAAAAATGTTTGGATAAGAAATAAAATCATTTATCAAAAATGTTTAGACAAGAAATAAAATCATTTTTTTGATAAAAAGTCCCATTTATGCCAATACTTATAATCAGGGATGTGACTTGAAGACTTGTATGCTAGGCCTATGGGATCAATAAATTTTATTTTTTAATTTATGTTTCACTTTACCAAAAATGATGTTTAGAACTAAATGGAATAATTATCCTGTAATATATAATATAAATGTTATGTACTGGTAGGTTTTTGATATGGGGTTTATCCAGAGGGATATATGCATATCAAAAATGTCTATAGATATGATGAAAATTTAAACATGTAATTTATATACATATAGGTATCACCACCATCAACCGAGGTTGTTCAGATTCAGCCCCAAGGAGTGCAATGGCGACACCAGAGTGTAATTACGCGGAAACAAAAGTCTTTGGAGTTAATGTAAAGTCATGGGATTGTAGCTGTACAGGAACAGCCAATTGTAACACTGGAACAACTGTGGCACCATCTATTATCATACTTATTGTCGCAGCGCTGATAATTTAAAGATACGGCCATGTACACTCTACTATACCTTGCATTGGGTGTTCATGAGCAACTCATTTGGCTTATTAGTAATGATTATGTTATTTGTTTCTATTTGTCTGTTTCTTATTAATGGTTTATTGGGTGAAGTTAGATGTCAATAAGGTACTTTCAAAAATATTGACTAAACAATACAATTGGACAAACAGAGTATCTTATGCATTTCTAGGGGTTAGGTATAGTAGAGTGATGTAATAAATAATGTAACTTTCAAGAAATATTCAATATAACACTATTTGTCTAAAAAATTGTGGCTCCACCTATAGTTATTCCCATTCTAACCACGTTGATTATAAAAAATGTCAATTGACGTAAATCAAAAAGTTCAATTTTGTACAAAATGTAAATATATTTTCACATATGTTGTAAGATCATATAGATGTACTGTACATAAGTAATTTAACAAAGGCCAGTTATGTGTATTTGTAAATAAAAAAGATCATGTACATAAACATGTACATATGCATGTTATACATGTAATGCAAATTATTTATCTTGTTTCAATTTTCATGAATTGTAAATAATTCTCTAATTCTCAAACTTGCATTCAATATTCTTAATGTTCTATTAATTACTCTTGATGGTTTTTATTAAATCAAATTTATTCCATCTTAGAGTTTCATTTTATTTCAAGGCATTTTAATGCAAGTCTATGTACCCTTAACAGCTGAAATTTGATTTTGTAATTTCATATAAAAATGCCTTATATTGTAAAATTCTGAAATATATTTGAATTACAATTTTCAAACTGTTTCCACTATTTGTGATTTGTCTCACTACATGCTCAATTATGAAATAAAAAAATTTGAAATTATGATCCAATTTGTTGTTTCTATGTATTACTTGCAGATTTTATTCCAATGAGCAATAAAACGTTGGCAATTTATTTAATAATAATGTTTAAGAAGCACCATTGACTAAATACACTCCCCTTCATAAGTTTGCAACTGGAAGTCTATATTTGATAGGATATTAAAACCTATAAATGGCTGATTATTTATTTTGCTTCTGTATTACTAAAGATTGGAAATCACAAAACCACGGGAGTACATTTATATACAAAAAACATTTATTTGAATTTCAGACCTACCAAATGTTAGGAAATCAAGGATTGTGAGTCTCATACTCGCACCATTTTTTTTCTTTAAACTCGTGAGAAGTAGCCCTCACAGATGGGGACCAAAACACCACTAAAAGGAGGGACTCTGTATAACAGAACAATGTACCAACGGAAAGGCGTTTTTGTTTTGTTTTGTTTTGAATGGAACAAGTTTGAGAAATTCAAATTTTATCATTCTCAGCCAAACCCCATTTAATGGATTGTCAACCAGAAAAAACTGCAGTTTTCTTTTAACAGTGACATCTATTTGTCTAAGAAGTTCTGTACCTTCTTCCGTACATGATCAAAAAGATGATAGATTTTTTCTTAAACCCTTTACAGTACCAACTTTCAACAGCAAGAATGAGGAATCAAGTTAATTCTTATAAGATCACACTTTTTACCCATCGGTTTAATATGGCCGCCAAGTTATTTACCCAGCATGCCCTAGACCTAAATCAGATCTTGGCACTGGTCTGCTCTTGCATCTGTAGAAATTGAATTAGTAGGTTAGCAGTTTTCCCAAATCTTAAGGATGCAGTACCGGGTCGGTTTTCACGTCTGTTTGCGCAGGTTTGACTTCCGGTTTGAGAAAGCTAGCTCCCAAGTACGTCATTTTCGCATTTAATCTTATTCAAAAATTATAGTTTATTTCGATAATGGTGTTTCCAGAAAAGAATTAAATTGCAAACATTTTATCAAGCATATTTTATCCCTTTCAATTTTATGGGAAAACTTGTTCTTGAGTCGCAATTGGTGGATACGAAAACCAGGGTTCAAAAGGTGCCAGCTCTTTTGAAAACTCAAAAAAGTAAAAAGATTCATTTTGGGTGGGTAAAATAATTTTTTTATTTTGTAATTACCAGAAGGTCAATCCTCTTCATATTGCACTTGGATGATGATAACATCACAGTGATACATTGTAAAAAATATGAGCAAAATCTAATGTCTGGAACTTTTTCTACGCTGACCTGGCACTGCATCCTTAATTCAACAAAACCCAGTTTTAATTTTGAAAGTGCTTTTACCTAAGCTAATCTCTATGAATTACTGTACTTCTACTTAATTTGATGCTACTCATTTTATCAGATTTGCTGTTTTGAACATTTGGTGGCTACTTAATTTTGCGGACTTGCAATATTATATATTTTCGTTTGAAATATGAAATATTGAATTTGAAGGGTACTTGGTTTGGCGGACTTTAACAGTTTGGTGGATCAGTCAAATTGAACGGCCACCAAATTAAGTACAAGTACAGTAATTATGAAATATGAATGGGACCTACCTCTTCTACATTAATATTTTCCTTGGCACTGGTTTCAAAAAGCTGGATTCCCATCTGATCGGCAAATCTCTGTGCGTCTTCTGTTAGAACTACCTTCCTTTCTGGATCGTCATCCTTGTTGCCAACTGAAATTATGGGATGTAAAATGTAGTGAATCATGGGAAATTAAATGTGGCAAATCTCTGTGCGTCTTCTGTTAGAACTACCTTCCTTTCTGGATCATCGTCCTTGTTGCCGACTGAAATTATGAGATGTAAAATGTGGTGAATCATGGGAAATTAAATGTGGCAAATCTCTGTGCGTCTTCTGTTAGAACTACCTTCCTTTCTGGATCATCGTCCTTGTTGCCAACTGAAATTATGGGATATAAAATGTGGGGAATTAAATGTGGGAAATCGTGGATGTATTAAGAAGACTGAAATTACATCTGGACTGCAAATACTGGTGGAGGGGTGGAGAACACGTACGGAAATGAATTTCTGAGTCTATGGTTCTCTTACTATTTTCTATAATTATATCCATGGTTACAACAATTGATTTAGCAACAGCTGTAAATGCTGTCATTTCTACAATTGATGGACATTGAACAATGCAATTATTAAAAAACAGATTTTTAAAGCAATTGGAAAATTATGTTTCAGTTTGCAAAACGAAGCTTTTGCACGTGACGATGACTCACCTAGAATCCTATTAACTTACCTAATATCCTATTAACTACATCACAATTCTGGTCAATCTCATGAAGCCATCGTTTAACATTAGCGAAAGATTCCCCGCTTGACACGTCATAAACAACAATAACTCCGTGTGTCCCTCTGTAGTACGTTGATGTGATTGTTCTAGAATTAGAAGATGTTTTTGATATGTTATTGTTATTTGTCAATATTTGTATTTATGTAAAGAATACAGCAAAACCTGTAAATTAGAACACTTTTCAAAGTACAGGGTGTTCCATATGTTTCAGGAATGATGCTGTATTTTAGTTGTTTTCTTTTCAATCTAGCTGAATTTTTCACAAAATGTGTCCATGTTAGTTGTGAATGAATTGAGAAAGTGTTATATCATGAAAGTCAGTAGATCTAATAATATGGTTGCTATATCAACCCAGGGGTAGGGTAGGTGGAGCAAGTGTAACAACCGACAAAATATATGTCATATTTGTAGAATAGTAGTTTTTGTATGAAGTGTGGGTAAGTATTAGGTTGTCATAGTTGCACCAAAGTCAGATATTAAGCAAAAATGAAAGTGAATTCCTCGAAATTAAAAAGAATTGTCATCATTGATAATATATCACAATTGAAAAATCTGACATGTCATGGGTACCAAAGGAGAATGATCACGGGTCATTTTGACTGACTTGCCATCTTGAAAACTGAAAATGTCATCAGTAAAAGATGAATTCAACTAAGGTAACGCACAACAGTCCAAGACTGTGAAAAATAACACTCTGCAGCAGTTAAAATTAAATACCTTGGGATTATATATGGGGACTTATGACAACAACCTCAAGAGTGCATGAGTGGTATAAGGGATTCAAATCAAGGGAATTTGAGACAGAAAATCCGAAACATCTGATATGGCTGCATGCTCAGCCAAAATGAGCAGTGATCATTCTCCTTAGTGACTCATGTCATGTCATGGGTGTCAATTGTGATTCCATCAATAATGACCATTTTTATTTTCAAAGAATCCACCTTAATTTTTGCTTTAATTTTTGACAGTTTTGATGTAACTATGACAACCTAATACTTTCTAACACTTCATACAAAAAACGACTGTTTTTACAAATATTTCATGTTTTGCGCATTGCCACACCTGCTCCACATATCTTACCCCTGGGTTACTATAGCAACTGTATCATTAAGTCTATTGAGCTTCATGATATGAAACTTTTCCAACTTATTCACAACATATTTGGACACATTTTGTTAAAAATTCAGCTCGATTGAAAAGAAAACCATTAAAATACAGCATCATTCCTGAAACATATGGAACACCCTTAACACATTAACTTAACATAAAAAGAGCCTCTCTTAGGCTGAACACCCCAATAATTTTGAGGTACCAAACATGTTCAACTAACACAGGTTTCTTGTATCATAATATGAAAATAAGGAAATATTCCCCATTTTTCTTCATTTTTTTATTTCAATGTTTCAAAACTACATGATAAAAATATATGGAGCAATCTTTAATAAGACCCCTTCCATAGTTTTTATCATTATCTCCTTTCTTTTGGCCTGCATAGGACCAATAACTTAACCTCTTAACTCCTACTTAGTCAGGCACCCCCAGTTTGTTTATGTCACAATGAACTAAAATGCTGTTCTTAATTGTATTAATTCTATGTAACCTTAAAGCTTGACCTATAGTGCCATTAGGCGATTGGCAAGCCATTCCATGTGAATTTAAATGTCACATAAATGTCATGAAATAAAAAGTTTATCATACAAAAAATAAAATATAAACAATTCAAAATATGTTTCTTAATTCTAATTCTTGTTTGAATAATATTCCTATGTTAAGGTATGTGCCATATTTAACATTTCCAAAAATGTACGATTACGGGATATGGATTTACCTGAATCTTTCTTGACCGGCTGTGTCCCATATTTGAAGTTTTACTTTTTCTCCATTGACGTCAATTGTTCTTATCTTGAAGTCTACCCCTATAGTGGTTATATATGTACCTAAAATAAAAATGTATAAAGTCAGCAAATTCCCTAACCATGACCTTATAAATGTACATTATTTTAAAAATCTCAAACATTGCATTATTTCATAACTGAAAATAATAATATGTGCAAAGGGAGCATAATAAATAATATATTTTGCTGCCTTTGCTCATAATATCATTGTTATAAATGTATTTTACAGATTTATTATTAATTAATATAGAATTGATAAGATTTTTTGATTCTTTTTTATTTTATTGATAAGATGAAACACTTTAAATCAAAGACTTTATTTAAAATTATCAATACTGTTCAAGGGTATCTTCTCTTTCTAATATGAAATTACGATCGATAAGATTTTTTTTAACGATTTAATTTTATTGGCTTTGTTTACATCATAATTGCATGTTGTCAGAAATTCTAATGAATTTACATATAGCTTGAGTTTTAATCAAGGGAAAGATCAATACCCGGTGATTTCAGCGGGAAGTGGCGTTTCGTTCAGTGGATGAGCTGCGCTATTTTGACACGATTCTGTTGAAAATAAGCTTTGAACCGAGAGATATTCACGATTGATATGCACATTTTTGATTGTGCCATTGCTTTTCCATTGCACAATCCATGTATTGATAGATGAAACATTAATAATGCAGATAGGTTTACCTTCAATACATGGCAGACACTACATATCGGTCTATTAATACCAGTTTGTGCCTTAAATAGTTTTATATTTCCATCCACGGCCTGGAGCCTGGGTGTGTTTGTCTCTTATGTGTATGCTTGTGCATGGACTTCTAATCACTAGCAGAATTTAACATGATGCAAACTCGACATTATAACTCATGCTGTAACATTTTGACTTCGCTGGAAAACAATAGGAATTATTTTTCTTGCCAATCAGTCATGAATCACAATCAAAATTTCAGAATGATCAATCAGGCAATGGTCCAAATCAAGTAACATTATAATGATATTCAGCAAGAAGTCCGGTAGAAATACAGAATATTTAAACATCAAGGCTGAAAGTTAAAAGCTAATCTGTCAATTTTCTGTCTGCAAAAGAGCGTTTACATTTGACACAATAACAGACTGAGGCTTTGAAATCTAGGATTCCCCAGGAAAATATGATGTCATACTAATTAGCATAAGGATTTCCTTATTGGTCTGGGTCGAGCCTTGTTCGAAAACACAATCCATAAATACATGCTAATTACTAAGGAGATAGGAAGTGTATAACATGTTTATCGATTTTGTTTAAAGATTTAATCAATTATCAAATTAGTTAAGTGGATAAAGTGGTCACACTTGCTTCAATTCATAGTGAAATCGACGGATAGAAACTGACCGAATTCCAGATATCCTACCCCGTATTACTGTAGGCTATAAGCACAGTGACCTACAGAGGGCGCTATCACAAACAAGTACTGCACGAACCGATAAATTCCCGGGTATTGTAACGCCCTTGTTTTAACTTGTTTGGTGTTATAAAACATTTTCTGAAGATTTAATTAGTCTATTCTACAGTATAAAGAATTCACTTACCAGAGAATGTGTTGTCTGCAAACCTAAGTAGTAAACTACTTTTCCCAACTCCTGAAAGAACAAAGATCATATATGAGAGATATATTTCCCCACCCTCAAATCAGTTAAGGGAGAGGGAAGCAAACTATCATGAACTATATGATGCGATACCCCAGATATGTATGTTTTTTAATCACATTTTATGCTGAAAATCAAGAAATAATCATAATCATAATAAATGATTAATAGAATTGCTGAAGTGAAATCTTATTTTAAAAGTAAGAGAATTTTCAAGAAGCCATACATCAGTGGACGAGGGCATACAAAATGTAAAATAAAAACATTTTAAGAGATATGTATCTAAACAATATTGAAAACTATGAGCTTTCAAACCACCATGGTTTGGAAATTATGAGAGAAAACTGACTGATTTATTTATGGTCCAAAACTGTAATAGATAGATAGATAGTGTATAAATAGATAGTGTATAAATAGATAGTGGCTGTATAAACAGAAAGTGACTGAATATATACAGTACAGTGATTTAATATTATAATTATAATTTCTTCTTTTATGAGAGAGACAATCAAGACATACATTATATATAAAATAATGGAATACAAAATCTGCGCAACAAGTGTAAATTGAAGCACATGAGAGAGCACAAAGAGAATTTATAGTACACGAGACGAACTGCCGAGAAAAACAGCGGCTTATGCAACACAACAACAACAAATAGACAATCCCTGATGTTATTTTCATATTTAACTTCCATAATTTGAGATATGTGGACAATGTAAACTTCTATGAAACCATAAATCCCCAGTTGACAGCTTCACTATCACAGATACTGTAGTAAATCTGATCTTTTGAAGCTCAGATCTTTAACAAACTGCGCCACTTTGTACCAGTCCATATGACATTTTGTCAGTGTATCCGCCTTACTTTCCATAACTTGACAATTCTCAATAAAACAAAACGAAAAGATGCAAATGATTTGCCGATGTATTATGGAAATTCAAAAAGGAAATCAAACTTTTTTGTAACATTGATAGAGCTTTGTGTCGGAATGACGAGTAGATTTTTCAGCACATTCATCTAGCATATATGTCCTGGACACTCAGTTTCTAGATCTAATATGTGATAGTCAGTCACATACTGAGTTCAGAGAGTGAGTCAACTCAGAGCCAGAGTAGGATTTCAGAGTTGAAAGATTTTTTTTCATAAATGAAATTATAATTTATATTTTTCAAGAAATCAAAGCGATAAGCATTAACCAAACTTACCACTATCCCCGATTATAAGTAGCTTAAACAGGTGGTCGTACTCCCTAGCCATTATGAAATTAAGATAATGACCAAATTCAAAGAAAACTCAACAAATATTTTGACTTCAAATGCGGAAGTATAGAGGCGTGGAAGTAGGTCACTGCGCATGCGGATTTTTATTGAAAAATTCTACTATGTAAGCAAATACTTCATTTAATAAATATAATTAAGGTTTTTATCACCCAACCGGACCAATGGATCAACAGAATACAGATCAAGGTGTTTAATTAAATCAATTTTATTGAATAAACGACTTTAAAAATGGCTGAATTTCTTAAATTATTTTGTACCACTTTGTACTTTTCGCTGCAGACTCCACTTTTGAGGTCTGAAAAGTTCAGAAAGTTTTGCGGTGGAATTTATCCAAAAAGTTTAGAATCACTGGGAAAATATCGTATCGTGCGTACCAAAGTTATAATTTTAACCACGACAGAGCTGTTGAGATTGTGACCAGTGAAAATGGAGGACTTGGGTAAGTTTTCTTCATACAACTTCCTGTGCAATTTCTGCCACAAAATGATTTACATTTTTGGGTTGCCTTTCTAACTTTCTTTCCCATCTGAGCCTAATTTCTTGGCTCATCGCTGTCAGACATGTCCAGAATGTAAGTACCATGAAGGATTGGCTCCCAAGGATGTTTCAAGTCGATGCTCAATATCAGAGCAACTCATTCAGTGCTATCATGCTGCGGTATTTCCTAGGAAAGGAATTCATGGATGCAATGCTACGGAGATGCATAGATGCCAGCTAGATTGTATGTAGTGGTAGTAAACTAAGAACAATAAGTAAACCTTAAGATGGGACACAGAATTGAAAAAGTCACTAATTGATAAAATGACCACGATTCAAACCTTTCTTTTCTGCAACTGATCTAACAAGTCTTGTATTACTTTCTATTGTGATTTGTTTGGTTCTATACAATTGAGAATTAACGCTGTATTTTAAGTTTAACTGTGGCAAATGTATTTTTTGTCTTCTCTGGGATCGAGTTTGCCAAATATCCCACAAATCTCGTCACAATTCCATGAAATGATTAAAACAATGTAAACATCTTCTGATTTGGTAGTCAGTATCGGAAGATAAAATTACCTTATTTTTTACTCTTATAACGTAGACAGAATAACAAGATGCTTCAAATGATGTATAATTTGTCAAAGATCTTATGCAATATCTGCACAATCTTGAAAAGAAAAACATAAAAAACTTGGTGTTTTATCTTGAGGTATTAACATTGAGGTACTGATACTACAACACAAATCGTGCCCAGGCCCGTAGCCAGGGGGAACCTCCCCCTTGCCAAAATTTCTTTCAAAATCATGCAGTTTTTCACCATTCTGGCCATTTTTTGTTTGATTTTTGGCCAAATATGCCAAAGTGAACCCCCTAGAATTTTTGGGAAAAGTAAACCCCCCTTGAAAAATTCTGGCTACGGGCCTGGTGCCTGTATCTATGGGAGAATGGCCTATTCTCTAGTGATAGCTAGTTCAGTATGTTTAAAACAATGGTGATGAAACAAGGCATTATTGTCTGACAACATGTCTCTTAATTCATACCAGCAATCTAATGGATTTGAACTATTGTTTTGATTATTTTGGGGACAGATAACAAAGACATGGGCCCCCATCAGAGAATCGAGATAAAATGCTAAAGTCAGATGATCTGACCTGATCACTTGTCCACAATAGGATGAAACTAACATGAAAATTGGTAGACAACATATGTTGGTTTGTTTGGATTCCATTTGATATATCAAACCTTCAATTTCAGTTAAACCAAATAGAATTTTTGGTCAAACTTGTTCCATACAAAGCAAAACAAAAATGCCTTTCTGTTGGTACATTATTTTGTTCTGTCCCTTCTTATGGCGGTGTTGGGTCCCCGGCTATGAGATTCCCTTATTACAACTGGGGACCCAGACGTTGCTAAAAGGAGGAACTCTGCTCCTTCGTGTATAGTTGGACCACTGTGGCCATGCAAACTTATAAAGTTAGGATTGTAAACAACTCTAAAAAAATGCTAAAACATCTCCTAATCAGAAATTTAAAGAAATCTGCTTTGCTCAGGACAGTCGTTATTGTCACTTAAGTGAACGGCAGACAAATTGAAGTGGCTACTGACAAAATAATTCTCCAGTTCTATAACACGTAGCTACTTTTTTCGCTAAAATCTCTTCTGATACACTCTTAAGAAAATGTTCAATTTTCCACCTGTTTCTATGGAAAACCATCATTTATTTTTCAGTTTGGATGAACTGATTGAAATTGAAAATTATCAACAAGATTGAATACAATTCTCAAAGGAAATATTTGGGTTATAACACAAAAACATTTTCGATCTCATTCATTTTTGCTTGATGAAATGTCGTACCCATGAGTTTTAAAATCAATAGGTAGCAGGTTATTAATCTTGTCTTCCAATCTATTGTCGTTTTATCAGTCAAGGGTCTAATTTATTTGCTGCTAGAATGTAGAAAATCATGAAATCATTTTAGACCAGATATAACCATTTTCAGGCAGAATATATGAGGAAAAGTCAGTCCATCCTGTAGCTCAGTGATTGTACCAATAGCAAGGGCTTGTAGGTTTGATCCCCACTGAGGGGGACTGGCACTGAATTTTTCACATCAGCCCTTAGTCCAGGATTTCATTAACCAATTAATCAACATGAAATGAGAAAATACGATTAGATATGATAGTCAGACTCATTCTATTACAGCTAGCTACAATATAGGGGTCATTGACTTGAAGTCAGCATTTATTAAGATTTTATCAGCCTCAAAATATATTTATTTGTCAGAGGGTTCTTCAGAGGGTACTTATTATAACTTACTAGTGTCTGATCTGCAGGGTAGCATAATATACTTCAGTACTGTTCTATCTCTTATGAAGCTTTGCTATTTCAAGGTGTGTTGAATAATATTTTTGAGATTTCTTACATCGTAAAATATTTTCAGTATTCCTATTAATCTCTTAATATTCGAGGGTTCTTATTATCGCCTTTGAGTGCCTTTAAATCATCAAAGATCCAGAGAAATGTAAAATTAAGTACAAGATCACAGAAATTAGAGGACTTCTCTCTTTCTGATTGCTCATTTCAAGAAAACTTTGAGTGATACTCAAGACTACTCATCATTAATGGTTTTCAAGTACATGCTACTATCTCTTGCTATCAACACTCAGACATGCTCTTGTTATTGTACTAAAGTAGTGAATTGAATTGAGTTACATATCCATGTGTGTTCATTTTTGAAACTTGTGATTTCTTGCATGTCTTAAGATTAGAGAGGTGTTCAGATATACAGGTCAGGCCCATAGCCAGGATTTGCCAAGGGGGGTCACCTTTTCCAGTTCCAGGGGGGGTTCACTTATGACAATTTTGGTCCAAAAATGGCCAAAATCACTTAAAATGTGGTCTGAATGGTGAAAAATGCATGATTTTGAAAGATTTTTTTGCCAGGGGGGGTTAGTTCAAACTCATCGACCCCCCCCCCCTGGCTACGGGCCTACAGGTATCACTTCAGATTTATTCATTTGATTTGTTCTATTTGCATATACGAGGCTAGCAACATATGTATATATTCACTAAATGTTCTTGACAGAAAAATGAAAGTTCATATAATTTATATTCAGAAATATGTTCAGAATGCCAAAATAATGTTTAGAATGCAAATGACACTATTATAGCAGACATACTTCCAATAAATTTTACAAAGTGGAATTAAAATTCTGCAGTCTGTAGTTATTAAACAAAATCCAATGCAAATTCCAACACTTGAACTTGGTCGGGAAAAAATTTTTGAACCTGGCATTTGTCTACTTTGAAACCCTCACAATTTGATTCTAGTCTTTTCTTATATTAGGGCTTTATTTCTCTATACTAAGGTAGGTTTAACTGTATGCTGGAACACTGTAATTTTGGTGGCTCCAAGGGTGCTCACTCTATAGGTTTTACTGTACCATATATGTATATGGCATATTCCCAGAATGGAAATGTGAAGTACTGCTCTTATAAACTAAAATAGGATCGAGTTTCAGGTTTACTTCTTGAAAAAAATTGCTTCAGTTTCAAAATATTTTTTGCTTATTTGCATCTTATCTCAAAATAATACCCAAATTTTCAGTTTTAATCAAACAACGCATTTCTGTATCGTGAATCTTTAGTTACCTTAATATGAAGACAATCCACATCATCTTGGAATCCATGTCAGTCATAAGGATTCATGCAGATATCACATACAGTAAAACCTATATGTATTTTTTCTTGGCAAAAAAATGTTCAGTTTTGGAAGGTGTTCGCTACAAAGAGGGTAATTATTTATACAGAAGTCAGTAGAATATGTGGAGGAAGGGTGTTCACTAGAGACAAGTGTTCACTAGAGAGAGAGATGTTCACTAAGACAGGTTTTACTGTAGTTCAGTATGGATTCAATTGGATCAGGGTTATATTTACTAGTAGATCAGATGTTTTGAATCCCTCGTTCAAGGGGATAATTATTGGTATGTTTATTAAAAAGATTGCTTTCTTAGATTTTAAATTTAATATCTTTTACTGTGCCACTTAGAAAATAACAGACCAGACAGATCAATTAGAGTATCATAATTCTTTGTTTGCCGGGCCTACCATCTGCTGGTTATGTTGTGCCATGTTACAAGGAGTTACCTACAAGAATATCCTATTATTTGTTGAAAATCCCTTCAAAACATTTAGATCTACCTGATGCAGATTTTTGGCTAATTCCGTTACCATGGCAATAGATTAGGGGCCATTTAAGGACTTAGAACTATTTTGTAATGTAGCACTTAAATTCAAGGAGAAATAAGCTGTATAATAAACTTATTCAAATACTAATGGGAATGAGCTAAAAGTGTTTAGATTAGCAGGTGTTCACATTTTAATGCTCTGTAAACATGTAATTCAATTGGAGACTGAGAAAATGGTGTTCAGGTTAGAGAGGTATTCAGATTAGAGAGGTGTTCAGATTACAGAGGTGCAGATTACAGAGGTGTTTAGATTAGAGGTGTTTAGATATACAGACTTTACTGTACATGGCTAATGTCAGCATAAGGCTGCAGAATATTAGATTATGTAAATCTGAAGGTAAAC